AGGAGCTCAAGAAGACTCAACTCACCAAAGCTGTCCCAGTGAGGAAACAAGCTCCGTATTTGCAGGCTCAGTGATCAGTACTGTTTGCAGACCCAGTAACTAGTAAGTTCACCAATGTGAGGATGAAAACAGAAAATGAAGTACATGACACAGACCCTAGAAGCTATAAGAAGGAAGCTTCTAGAGAAGCACCATGCTGCTGTGCAGAGGAACAGGCAACCATCAAATTCAACCCCTCCATAATCTTCCTCTGAAAAGCTCTGAGCCTGTGATGGGGTTGGTACCCATCCTCAAAGGCCACATTTCCACCGGTCCCTGTGTCCCTAGATGACTTACATTGCTACTCCCTGCTATGTAGTGGATGATAACTGAGGACTGAGAAAATAACCACCAGAAGATGCGGAGGCCAGAGGAAATTGTCACACAAACTCCTAGAGGCTTTCGGCAACCAGGGACCTGGAATCAAGAGGAAACGCGGCATGCACAAGATGGCGGAGGCCAACTGCTCCCTGGCCCACTACCATGGGTGGCAGGAGAGTAGAAGTTCCAGGAGGAGCTCAGGGGCCTCTGCCATAGGAAGCCACATGAACCACTGTCACATTGAAAAATCCCTTAGGGTTAAGGGCATAGTTCCTTTTTAAGGGCAGGCAGACCTCACAAAAGTGATGAGCAGCATGTTTATTGCCCATTAATCTTTCTTTCTGTGGGGCTAGAACTGGCTGTTCCTGCCACATTTCCTTATAAAGAGATGACATATCAACAGGAATTTACTCCAAGAAACTTAGTACCCAGTCTTTTCTTCCCTCAGCTTGGTGTGGGCCTTTAGGTAATATGAAAAGAAACAGTTTTAGTATCAGAAAAAAAAATTATTAGAAAAATCTCACCATAACTGGGCACAGTGTTGCACTCTTATAATCCCCAGCTACTGAGGAGGCTGAGGCAGAAGGATCCAAAATTCAAGGCCAGACTCAGAAACTTAATGAGGCCCTCAGCAATTTAAGAAGACTCTGTCTCAAAATAAAAAATTAAAAGGATTGGGGGTGTATCTCAATGGTAAAGGGCCTCTGGGCTCAATCTCAAGTACCCAAGAAAAGAAAAGAAATGAAAAAAAGAAGGAAAATTCTCACCCTGAACTGTTGTAGCATGTGATACAGAACTACATTCATTACATCTGTCTGGAGGGAAAAAAAAAATCTGAATGGCCAAAGGTGGTTTGTTTAAGGAATAAAATATTTAAATGAGAAGGAAGCTTCTTGATCTTGGACTCCTTCTCCTGAGTGTGATTCCCTGTGGGGAGTATCACACTGACCCCTCCCAAACTCAACCACAGAGTTAATTGCAGCCATGTCACTATCCCACTGTGGCCTAAGAACTATCCTACATGGTATTGCCAGGGCAGCCTCACTGAGACAATGTGCAGCATTATCATCAATCCCCCTTGCTTGCTCAGAGATTTTCAGTCTCTAATGTACTTTGTCACTATCTTTTTTTTTTAGTTGTAGGCAGACACGATACCTTTTATTTTATTTATGTGGTGCTGAGGATCGAACCCAGGATGTCACACATGTGAGACGAGTGCTCTACTACTGAGCCTCAGCCCCAGCCCAACTCTGTCACCATCTTAATTAAACTTCATAACAACCCTGTGAAGTAGGCTGTACATCTCCCTTCATCCCATTTCACAGATGAGAAAACTAAGGTCTACAGAGGTAAAAGATTCTCCTAAACTGGCATGGCAAGAAAGGTTGTAAGGCAGGAGGGGAAATGTGATCTTCCAGCTTCTGGACAAGGGCTCTTTCTCCTATAGCTTCCTTCCTCTTGGATAGGAGAAATGATTCTTGCTGTTTCAGCCACCATTTCCACCAATAACCACAATAAAAATGTAATAATCAGCTGAGCATGAAGGCACATGCCTGTAATAGTGGCTTGGGAGGCTGAGGCAAGAGGATAGCAAGTTGGAAGCCAGCCTGGGCAATTTAGTCTCTGTCTCAAAAGACTGGGAATGTAGCCCAGTGGTAAAGTGCCCCTAGGTTCAATGCCCAATACCAAAATAAAAAATTAAAATTAAGATCAGTACACCAGCAGCAGTCTCCATTGCAACATTGGCATCTTTATTACATGGCAAATTACCAACCCCCTCCCTTTAAGCAACAACTAACCTTAAGCCAAAGACCACTCTGATGGAACTGGCCAGAGCTACCCAAGACCCTCCTCTGTTGCAGACCCAGCTTTCCTAAGCCATCAGTGCCGAACTTCACCCCCTCAGCTCAGTGTTGCCTGCATGCAAGCCCTGCCTACCTTTCTGGGCCTCAGTATCTCCCCTGCACGTGGGGCCCTGCAGGACCTGGAGGAGTTCTTAGGAGGACTAGCTGGAAGGGTGAGTGTAAAAACACTTTGTCCAGAATCTAGCACAGATAATAAAAGTTAGTTGGTATTTCTGTTAATTGCATATTGTACTTGAACATTTCCTGGACAGATAATAAGAAAAATTAGCTTGAAGTCACTGCCTGTGTCACTTGTAAAATTTCTCTCTTAGTTTCTCCATCACTAAAAATAATCCTATAATACCTTCATCATGAATAGAAGGTTAAATGGTGAAATGTGCAGAGTATGGTATGAGTTGAGAAAGGTTTACATGAGATACAAGAGGAAATATCAGTGAGGCTGTGGGAAGGCCACAGCAGGAGTGCACATCAGGCTCTGTGTGCAGTCATGTGGCTCAGGAAGCCAGTAGAAGAAGAAAGAAAATGACAGAGGCTTAGTGCATTAGCTTTCTGTTACTATAACAAATACTTGAAATAACTTATAAAGAGAAAAGGTTTCTTTCGGCTGTCAATTTAGATTCCAGTCCATGATCAGCTGACCCTGTTTTTTTTTTTTTTTTGTGTGTATGTGTGTGTGTGGCATGTGGCAAAGCATCACATCATGGCGGGAGCACTTGGCAGAGCAAAACCACCCACTTCATGGTAAGCCAGGAGCAAAGAAAATGAGGAAGGGACCAGGATCCCACAGTCCCCTTCGAGGGCACACCTCCAATGACCTAAATACTTCCCACTTTAGGCACCAACCCCTAAAGTTTCCACCACTTCCAAATAGTGCCACCCTGGGGACCAAGTTTTTAACGTATGAGCTTTTAAAGGACATTCCAGGTCCAAACTAGAGCACTTGTAGAAAGATGGGGAGGAGGTTCACCCTCTCCTTCAGTGTTGCTGAGCACCTGCCCTGGTCCAGACACTGTTCCTGGTGCCAGGCATGCAGCAGTGAAAAATAGACAAAGTCCCTGTCCACTGGTGCTTACACTAATGAGTCTGGGGAACAAAGTAGGGGATTTCTGATACAGAATTTAAAAGTGCAAATAGGAGTGATTATAGTAAAGGGGCAACCAAAAAGAGGGACAGGAAAAAAATGTGCCTGAGAGAATGATCTTGGGCCTGATAACAGCTCTTCATCCTTGCCCTAGAACCAGGAGAAAACGAGACAGTCCAAGTAGGGGAAGTAATTGGGCAAGGAGGTGGAGGTGATGGAGAAGAGGTTGATGAAGGAAAAGGTGGGCTGATGGGGGAGGGTCCCTAAAAGGAATTCCCAATGCACCTTCTCACTCAGGCAGGTGGCTCTCTAGGGCTCTGGTGTTGGTCCTCCTGTTGCCTGTTCTCCCACATACTGTCTAGTCTCCTGGACCTGGGGTGCTCCCGGGCTGTATGGAGCACACATACCTGCACACTGAGAGCGGGGTAGACAGCGTGGGGAAAAGAGAATCTAGAGACCCAGTCAGCTCGGTGCCCCTCCTGCTAAATTCTTTCTGCACTTTTGTAGATTAACTCTCCACTATCCTCACACCAACTCCTGTTCAAGGATGCTGAGCTCCTGGGAAAACCAGAGGGAGGCTGGAGAAATATCAGCATGACCACAGAAACTATGTCATCCCGTGGGAACAAAAGTATCAGATGTTCCTGTAGGCAGGATTGTTGGCTCCAAGTTTCTCTCCCTTTCCGCTCCCTTTTCTCTTTTTCTTTATCAAGGGCTACTATGCACTCAACAAATGTTCAAAGTCTGTGGTGTGGTTCTCCGGGGCACAATGCACTAAGTGATGCATATAAGGGAGGAGATCCATGTATCTCCACTTCCAAGAAGTGTGACTTTCTGGGGAATAAAAGATAAGCATAGACAGGTGACCTCTGGTTCTCTGTGTCCCTGTGAATAGAAGGGTATTATCCCACCTGGCCCTGGTGCTCACTTCCTGGTCCTTCTCCCTCCCTCCTATAGCAGGTGTCCTCTCATTGAGTCCTGCTACCTCTCCTCCCCTTTTCAGACTCCAGCTGTGGTGTTCCAAGAGAAGCCAGGAGGATGAAGAACTCTTGGAGGACACTGAGTATTGACAAATAAATATTCCCCTAGCTGGTGCCTGGATATTGATTAATATCTCCCCATGGCTCCCAGGACACCAATTAATATTCCCCCAACTGCTACTTGGGAATTGATTATGGATACCCCAGATTCTAGGAGGCTGTGCTATGGTCCTTGTTCCCCATCCAGTCCCAGGACCTCCCCCTCCCCAGGACACACCAGGATTCAGAGTCCCCCAGGGGAGGCCAAGCAGAAGCCTATGGATGAGACGCCAGAGAGACCATTCTGAAACCAGCCCTCCCACCCAGACAAGGTGAGACCATGAGGCTCCACCCACATACACCTGGGCTTTGATATTTCACAAAGATGGGGATGACAAGAGAGGGTCAGTTCACAGGGAACCTTAGAGAAACATGGGGATGGCTAGAAAACTGGGATGGACCAAATGCACTTCAGTTTATACCCAGAAACAAAGACACCGACAAATAGCAAATTCAAGAGTTGCTTATATTTTATTGGAGATTAGCGTAGAGCAGTAAGGGAGGAGGTAAAAATGGGGATAATGTTGGAAAGTGCTGATGGAACCTGATTCAACTTGTATCATGAGGGGCTGGAGCTCCACTCCCTCCTCTGACTCGGGGTTCCTCTCACCATCTCTACTCCCACTGCTCATCAGGGTTCTGAGGATTAGGGAAACCAGCTGGGGTGTTCCAAGAGAGGCCAGGAGGATGAAGAACTCCTGGAGGAAACCGATTATTGATACCTGGGCGCAAATGAATATTCCCCCAGCTGGTACCTGGATACCGATTAATATTCCCCCAGATGCTTCCAGGATACCGATTAATATTCCCCCAGATGCTTCCAGGATACCGATTAATATTCCCCCAGATGCTACCTGGGAATTGATTATGGATACCCCAGGTTCCAGGAGGGCGTGCTATGGGCCTTGTTCCCCATCCAGTCCCAGGACCTCCGCCTCCCCAGGACACACCAGGATTCAGGGTCCCCCAGGGGAGGCCAGGAAGAAGCCTATGGATGAGAGACCAGAAAGGGTGCTGGGAAAGAGCTTGTCTCTGGGCTCCCAGCAGGTTAGAACGTGGCAGCTGTCCTGACTTTGAGTCCTGCTGGAGAAGTGAAGTCTCAGATGAGGGCTCTTCCTGGTGAGCAGAGGATGCCACAGACAAAGGACGGCCACCCAGTGGGACAGCACCAGCACTGGAAAGGTAAGGCAGTCCTTCAGGTGGCATCTCTCCCAGCTGGTCCTCATTTGCAGCATCCATCACCTGCCAAGGATCCTCAGAGGGCCAGAACCCCAGAGGAGGCCCCCAGGATGGAGGCCACCTCCGCACCCCAGATCCTCCTGCAGGTTGGGAGCCATCTGGTGGAGGAATATTGGGTTTGAGAGGAACTCCCTCTAAGTCATTAGACTCAGAGTTTGGTTTCGGCTGAGGATGTCCGTAGTTGGTGGGACCAGTGAAGGAAGGTTGTCCCAGCAGAGGCAAGTTTGTCCCCAAGTGTGGAGAAACTTTCTCCTCCATGGCACCAATGCTCCGGGCAAAGAAGCCTGAGGGAAGGGAAGACAAGCAGTCAATGGACTCATTTTGGTACCAAACATCCTCCTTTTCCTGATTCTCTTCACTAAAAGTCCCTTCACTTCCCCAACACCAATTCTTATCTCTTCAGGGACCCAAATCTGTACCCTCTGTGTATATCCTGCTGCCTTTACCCTCCCTGTCATTCCAGCTCTGGAGGGGCCCATGTCCCCTCCTGCCCAAGGACCAGGCATGGACTTCATACCTGGGAGATGCAGACAGACCAGGAGCAGGCCCAGAGGAGCCCGACTCCCTGCCACACGGGCCAGCATCCTGCTCGTCTCCAGCATCTCCTTCAGTCCAAGACAGCACCTTTATCCTGTTAGTGGGGTGAGGGACAGAAGAAACAGGCTGGGCCAGTGGTTTTAGAGACAATAGATCTCACGGTCCACCCTCATTCTTGATTCAGTCTGTGGCAACAGGTGTCACTTGAATGTCCCAGAGAAAGCTGGGTGTTTCTATGCCTGGCTCCTTTCCTTAAACTCCCTGCCTCTTCTTGATCCAGGTGTTCTGGCCCACAGCTCATTCTTGGTTGCCAGATCTGCCTTTCCCTAGTCCCTACATCAGGCCCACTAGGACCTTCACCCTTAGGGGTCCCAACATCCTCATTGCTTCCATCAGTAATAGAAAAACTTGGTTCTTCTCTCTCTTTGTGATCCAGATCATTCTCACCCAGCACTCTCCTTCATGCATGCCCATATCTCCATCTTGAACCCCACCTACAGGGGATTCTGGGGCACGGAGTGGCCCCGCATCTGAGGAACTGCTTCTACACATATCTCCTTCCCTGTATCTAGGGAAATAGAACTAGTTCCCATCCATGAGATGATAGTGTATTAATTTCCTGTTGCTGCTGTAACAAAGTACCACAAACTTAATGTTACAGTTTTGGAAGTCAAATGCATTATGTTACAGTTTTGGAAGTCAAAAGTCCAAAATGAGTCTCAATCAAAGTGTGGTAGTATGCATCTGTAATACTAGCAAATGGGAAGTCTGAGACAGGAAATTAGAGGCCAGCCTGGGCAAATTAGTGAGGCCCTATGAAACTTAGTTTCAAAATGAAAGGGCTGGATGGAAATATAGCTCAATGATAAAGCCCCTCTGGTTTCAATCCCCAGTTTAAAAAAAAAAAAAAGTCTCCAGGTTAAAAATCAAGGTGTCATCAGGATTTTAGAGAACAATCTAATCTGTTAACTCTCCTTTTCCAGTTTCTAGGACTACCTGCATTCCTTGGCTGGTGATTCCAAACATGGTCTATCTTTCCCAAACACCAGGTTCTTCTCACACTGTATCAAGTGTCTTCCTTTTGCCTCCCATATGCACTTTTTAAAACCTGTGATTATGTTGGATCCACCCAAATAATCCAGGATAATCCCCTTAAATCAAGGTAGAATGACTAACAACCTTAACTCCATCCACAACCTTATTTTTCTTTGCCATGTAATATGACATATTCATGGGTTCCAATGATGAGAACATGGACATCTTTGGTGGTATTGGGGGTGTTGGGCATATGGTCAGATATGTTCATAAAATGTATGAAATACTGAGAGAGAGCAGCTGTTTCCAAGGAATAATAGAGCTGGACATTTAAATGCTATTGTCAAATGGCCATGACTTGCAGCAGAGTGGTGGGAGAATAGGGTCTGTTAACTCTTTGTCTATTTTTAAATATTGGTATGTTTTACATATGGTTTGAATGTGTCCCCCACAGATTTGTATACTGAAGCATGGTCCCTAGCGTGGCAGTATTGAGAAGTGGTAAACTTTTTAGAGGCGAGGCCTAATGGAAAGCAATTAGGTCATTGGGATGATCAATGTTGGACTCTTGGAGTGAATTAGTTCCCACTAATTCATTAATGGGTGTTTTAAAAAAAAAGAGTGAGCCAGACCATGGAATTTTCTGGCATCCTGTCTTGCCATGTGATCTCTCCCTCTCACATGCAATTCTGACATGTTGGGACATAGTCAAGGGGTGGGGGGGGGGGGGTCCTCACCAGAGCCTAGCAGTTGCTAGTTCCATGCTCTTGAACCTAGTTAAATGAACCTCTATTCACTGTACATTACTTAGAGTCAAGTATTTTGTTATGGCACAGAAAGTTGGCTGTGAAATACAAATATTTTAAAAATGTTTAAATAAAAAGTTAAGGGCTGGTCTATAGCTCAGTGGCAGAAATACACTGAGCCCTGGATTCAATCATCAGGAACACACACACACACACACACAAATGCCTTTGTTCTCTTCATTTCTTCTGGGAACCCAACCCCCGCACACATACACACACATTAGATAGGCTCCTGGTTGCTTGAGGAAAAATGTGAGCTGTTACACAATTTTATTGATCTGGTCTCATCCTCTGACCCTGTGGGCTAGGTACTGGAAGAGTGACAGAACTCTATAGTACAGGGAGCACAGTACCCCTTTTGGGAAACATCCAGCAATTTTACAAAACTTTTAACCTGGTCCACTTCAGAAACTAGAGTCGCCGTATCACAGGGCCTATCTCCCCTACTTTTCCCATCTAGAGAACTTCTGAGAGCTTTTTTTCCTTCCATTGACTGAAGTTTGGGGACCAGGTGCTGAACCAAGGGTGACTCTACAGTAATGACAGAAATAGGACTGTTTGGAGCCCTACTTTGTCTCCAATCAACCCTGAAATTTGGTTCAGTTGCCCTAGGTCATTTCTAGTCAATGTAACATATTGCTGCTGGTTCTGAACTTGGAACTTCAGCAGTTCTAAATTCAGTACAAGCCTACTCCACTTTGAAAGGAGGGGAAAGGTTAGATCCTAGGATGGGGTGGATTTCTTTGCAGCAAAGCAAGGGCTCTGAGAAGTGGCCAATGAGGCCTTTCTATCAGGACACATAGTGCCCCCTGCCCTCCTTGGAATGTAAGAGCATCCTCAACCTCAGCTTCTCCTCTGCCATCTAAGGATGTAGATTACATGACCCTGTCCATACTCTCTACTTTTTCTTCTCTTTTCCATGAAGGCCACCTTCCCTTCTGCACTTGAGCACTCTAACCTCTTAACCGACCACAGCTCTCACTCTGGATCCACAGCAGAAGCAGCAAGTGTATGGAAGCAGAGAGGACACTGTTGGCTCTGGTCTGCATGGTCTGCATCTTGTTAAGTGAGTCAACATGCTTGGCTGCACTTCCTGCCAGCCTCCCATCTTGTCTCACTCTCTCCGCCCCCGGCTCCCAGAACAACCAGGCTCTTATTCATTCACAAGGAATCTGGTCTGAGTTGTTGTATCTAAGCCTTCCCAGAGTTCCAGGTGTTCCAGAAACCCAGGAAGTCATCGACGCTGGGGACTCCCAGAGAGGATGGCGTCTAGAAGGTGAGGCACACTAATGGTAGAGGAGACAGAACTTGGGTGGAGAGGGGAAGGAAATAATGAGGATTTTATATAAGGGAGAAAAGGACTCCAGTGTGAATGGGGAGTAGAGAGAGACTGGATCTTCTGGAGCCAAGAGAGAGGGGGAAAGTGGATGGAAGGGTCTGGGAAACCAGGCAACTTCTGCTTTCAGTTCAACAAATATTTATTGTTTTCCTTCTTTGTGGGAGTAGCTGTAAGGCATGAAAGAAATACTGGGCCAACTTATGAATGGAAACAGGGACATGGAGACCTCTAGAGGCACAGGAGGTTCACCACCCATGTCCTAGGAGGAGACCCAGGACTCTAAGAAGGCAAAAATTCTGCATCGAGTTCACACACTTTATTGAGCCATGTCCAGGATCCAGAGAAAGCAGGGAGATGGCTCCATTCTCAGCAGGTGCCCTGGTGTCTCACACAGGGCAGCATCTCAGCATTGAGAGAAGCGACAGCCAGGGAGAGGGCTGGCTTTTTGATGCAAGGGTGTGTTGGAAACAGCATCCAGTGGTATAGAGGTTTGGTTGAGCAGATGGTGAAGACAGGTCAGTGAAACATGGTCATTATCTTTGGGTAACAATTTGGACTTTGCTTTATCTGACAAAGGAAGGAATGACTTGTCCAGGCATCAGAGATCAGGGGTTTCCTAGTCAAGAACCTGAGTAGGTGGGTTTTGTTAATGGACTATCTCAAAGAAATACCCAAGGAAAATTTAAGGGGTGGTGTTCTGGTAGAAATGGCACTGCAGTAGAATGGGATCTAAGATGTCGGAGAGAATGGGGAAAGGGATTTGGAGTCTACCATTTGGGCTAGTGAGTGATAGGAGGAGAAGAAAGAAGAGGTAATAAGGGAGAGTTTGCAACACTGGAATACTGGAGGAGGCAGAGCAGCTCTTTTAGGAGAGGATATGAGCTAACCCCATGTCTGGGCCCCTGGATGTCTCCCAGCTGGGAGATGGTATGTGTATATGTGTGTGCCCGTGCATGCATGTACAAAAAGCTGACTTATGGACTGTCAAGTGACTCTCCCTGGGGTAGGAAAACTTCAGGGTCAGCTAGCTGGGGCCCTAGAGGCTTCACTTGGGTCAGGATGTCCCGGATAGAGCGGCAAGGGATCCTTCCAGGGCTGCTGAGGCCACAGGGCTTGGCACCAGCAGAGGGATCAGGCTGAGGAGAGCCATCGGGACCCCCACTCAATGTCGAGGAGGAAACAGAAATGCAAGGTTGACCAGAAGAGCTGGACTTGATGCTGCAGGGCTGAAGGATGATTTTGCCACTGGATAGGGAGCTGGAGCTGGAGCTGGAGCTGGAGCTGCCTCCTAAGGAGCCAGTGCCTGGTGGGGAGCAGGGACCCTGGGAGACACCACTGCAGGGGTGGTAGGATGAACCGGAATTGCTGGATATGCTAGAACTGATATGCACTCCAGAACCAGAAGGGGAGCAGGGTCCCTTAGGTCCTGTGAAGCCGACTCCACAGGGCTGGACCCCACCAGAGCCCACAGGCTGGAATGCAATGGCTGAGGAAGCTCCTGACTGGTGTATGTTGGAACTAGATGAGCTGTGGCTGGGGATGATGGGATTGCTGGAAAAGTATTTTCCCTCTGAGATGGGGGGCCCAGCTGCAAAGGACGGGGACCCTGGAGACCCCTTGACAGGGTTATCTTTGGTGAAGTAGCCCACAGGGTAGATTTTACCCTTGCTATAGGTCATGCCTGGGACCAGATAGCTGTCAGAGGAGCCACCTACCACCTCATAGCCACCATAGGATTGCTGTACAGATGTGATGGGGGGGCAGGGCTTGCCTGGGAGGCCACCACTGCTACAGGGGCTACCTTGAATCACTCCAGGGCCACCAGAGCCATGCTGCTCCACCACCACTACTACGGGCCTCTGCCCCCCTGACACAGAGTGGGAACTGGAGATGTAGGGGCCAGAATGTGAGACAATGGGTCCCCCACTGCAGGGAGAGTCAGGGACATCTGAGCTACAGGGACGCAGGTTGGAGCTGCTGCTTTGACTACTGCTGCTGGACATCTGAGAGGTTTGGGAAAAGGAAGAGCTTCCTCCAGACATATGAGACTTATCATTGACCGGTAGAGCAGAGCCATCCCCTGTTCCTTTGGGATATCCTGATCCTGGTTTAAATAATGCAGATCCTGCAGAACCACCCTGGTAGAAACTGGATCCACTGGAGCCACCACTGGAACCACCCCTGGAGCCACCACTGAAGCCACCACTGGAACCACCACTGGAGATACTATAACCGCTGGAGCCACCACTGAAGCCACCACTGGAGCCACCACTGGAACCACCACTGGAGATACTAGAACTGCTGGATCCACCACTGGAGCCACCACTGGAGCCACCACTGGAGCCACCGGAACTGGAAATGGAGTTGCTGAAGCTGCTGGAGCCACTTTGGCTACTGAAGCTGCTGGAGCCACCCTTTCCAGTGAGACATGGGTTGTTCGGAGAAGTGATTCGTGTGGGGTCCTTACAGGGGTCTGAAAGGGTCCCGATGCTCTTAGCCAAAGTTCCTGGGGAGGAAAGTAGCCGTCAGTAAGGGCCAGAGAGGAGCCTGGCTTTCTCTCTTACCTTTTAGACCAATCCCAAGTCCTCCTCCATGCTGATTTCTCCAGAGTGGAGCCTATGAGATTTTTTTTTTTTTTTTGAGGGTGGGGATACTGGGGATTGAACTCGGGGGCACTCGACCACTGAGCCACATCCCCAGCCCTATTTTGTATTTTTTTTAGAGACAGGGTCTCACTGAATTGCTTAGTGCCTTGCTAAATTGCTGAGGCTGGCTTTGAACTCGTGCTCCTCCTGCCTCAGCCTCCCACGAGGCTGGGATGACAGGTGAGCCCTATGAGATTTTGACAGCAGAAGAAAAGGGAGGGAGAAGTGGTTGTTGTCTCTAAAGGATATCAGGGTGGCAGAATAAGGGCAGTTTCATTGTTCTGGGAGCGTGGTGTTGGGTGGGGAAGAGGTTCAACATTTACTAGAGAAGTAGCCAGCCTCCAAAGGGGGAGGCATTGGAGGAGTAAGCGGCAGAGAGTGAAGAATGTGAACAGACAGGTCCAGGAACAACTAGGTCGAAAAGAAGACAGTGGCGAGGCTGAAACTCTGAGAGGTAGGGAAATCTGGAGGAGAAAAATCCCGGGCCAGACCCTGGGACCAAACAGAAAGAAAAGATAGAAGGCGAAACAATAGAAGGCCGAAAATGGAAGAGAAAATACAAAAAAAAAAAAAAAAAAGATAATGGGAAAAGAGACACCCAGTGGCAGAGGGACCAACACAAAGAAGAGGGTAACACTTGGTCACCAGCTCCCTCCTAGAGAACAGGCTGAGGGGAGGATGGAAATCCTGATTCCTGTCTCAGTGCTGACCATGCCAGTGAAGCTGGGTGGGGGCCCGGATGTGGGGGCACTCACCTGTTGCTTCAGAACCTGCTGGTACCAGTGTGACAGGACACCGCGCCCTAAGCCACCCCTGCTCTCACTGGCCCAGCCTAGGGACACCAGCATGAAACCCTCCTTGGAGGCATGTGACCATTATCAGCTTTCCCTGCTCCCCACCCAGCCTTCGCACATGTGCACCTGCTGTCCCCACCCAGCCCTGTATCTGACTCCTGCTGCCTTTATTTGCCTCAACTGTGGAATCACTTCTTCTTTAACCATTCCTCTGCTCCTAACCCCCAGGCTCAGCTTACCCCAGTTTATCTTCACCGCTCTCTATTACCTAAATGTCTTCTGCCCACCTTTGTCCTTTTGGGTCCTAGATGGCATGGACAGAGCCCACACTAGCAGATCACTAAACTTCTCTGAGTTTCACACACATGGGAGGCCAAATCTGTCCTGCTTTCCTTACAGCATTACTATGAGACTGAGTGAGATCACCTACTTTCAAAAACAGAAAGCCTTAGACATTATGATTCATTATTTATTGCTACTCATCCTTGAGCTCTCCACCAACAACCAGACCTCTAGTCTGCAGCATCCCTAGTCTCTCCTCAAAAAGAAATCCTCTGCATGAACCTCCATGCACCAGCTCTGCCACTGCCCCTCACTCCACGTGAAATCATCTAGCACTCCCGCCTCCTCCATTGCTCCCCCAGACGATGTGCACCCTGCTCTCCACCTGCCCACCCAACCAAGGGGGGAAGGTCACAGAAAAGCCTCAAGGGCCATAAACACCTGGTGGTCAACAGTACAGGCCCAAAAACTACCCAGCCTGGGGTTTGAATCCTGGCTGAACTGCTTCTAACCATGATCCTGAGCCAGTTTCCTAACCTCTGGGAGCCTTGTAAAAAGAGAACCATAAATATTCTCTTATTGTTTTTGTTATAATCAAAAATGCTACTATATTTGAAGTGCTAGAACAATGTCTGACACATTAAAAATAATTCCAAAACAGAACTTGGGGGCACATATCTGTGATCCCAGCAGCTTGGGGATCCCAAGTTCAAAGCCAGCTCATCAGTTTAGTGAGGCCCTGAGCAATTTAGCAAGACCCTGTCTCAAAATAAAAAATAAAAAGGGCTGGGGATGTGGCTCAGTCATTAAGCACCCCTGGGTTCAATCTGCAGTACGGAAAAACAGAAACGAAAACCTCCAAAAATGGTAGCAATTCTTTTTACTACAAAATATCCAATCTTCACCTACTAGTGTTCCATAATGACAACCACAACATTGATACAGCCCTCTAGAGCTTCCAAAACACCTGTCACACACATTAGCTAATTTGAGACACAAGGGAAAATTAGTACTAGGTGTTATTTTAAACCCCACCTTAGAGTGTCAGAAACCAAGGCAAGTTTAAGAAACTTGCCTGAGGTAACAAAGTAATGAGGAGCAGCCCCTAGACTCAAAGGTCAGATTCCAAAGCCCCTGCCTTTCTCCCTCGCTGGATTCTCTCCTAGACCCTCCTCAGGCACTGAATTCCCCCAGCCTTCCCTGCCCCTGGGTCTGTGTTCCTTCTCTCCCACCCTACCCTCCCACCCCCAGGGCCCCCAGCCTCCTACCTGGCAGGAGGAGACCAGCCAGCAACAATGCCATCATCCCTTGCCCTCCCACACGCCCCATCTTGGGTGCCCGAGAGGAGCCCATCTCGGACGGCGTGGCCTTCTGACTGACAGCAACTCGTGGACACCCAGGGCCTTTATGTTAGGGCTGGACATTCTCTGGGCAGGAGTCACTATGGGGAGGGGAGGAGGGGCGGAAGGGGTGGGTGCCTGGGGGCAGTTGGTGTGGCCCGAGGAGCTGAAGTAATCAGCCAGGGCATCTGCCTACTCAGCAACAGCGGTGGCTACAGTGTGGGGGACCCATGGCCACTGGGCCCCAGATCCTGCAGCCCGACCGGCCTGCCCTGGATCCTCATTGCTTAACCTGGAACCAGGTGCTCTGCCCTATGGCCACCCACTCTGGTGCTGCCACTCTCACCCTGGGACCCAGTCTCCGGTTCCTTCACTCGCTGCCTCCCAGGGTTGGCCTGTCCAACTGCCATCCTCCCATCTTCCCTCCCCTCGAAGATGTGGGCATTTCAGCTTTCCCTTTGGTGCCTGGGAAGTACCCCACCCCTGCTCCAGCCCCCACCTCACCCTGCTGCATGGTTCTGGCCCCACTGGGTTCCCATCCACAGCCCTAGGTCTGCCCATTTCCTTGGGCTCCTGTTACTCAGCTTCTACTTCCCTTCTTCAGATATGAAGATCTGCCCCCACACCTCTGTCTTTTGCTGCTGCTGTTGCTCAAGCGCCTGCTTGCCACTTACCCATTATGTGTCTATCAGTGAGTGAACCTTTTCCCTCTCAGAAATTGAACATCCACATTCTGAAAGCCAGCTCATTGGCATCTCCCTTCTGGGGGGTCCCAAGGACAGTATGAGGGGCACTGGGTGTCAGAACTCAGCCTGGGAAGAGGCCTGGGCTGGGGACCCCTGTCATAGCTGGGCCTCAGTTACTCACAAGCCACTCATAGCCTCTCCCCCAAGGTGGTGACCTAGACTTCTCAGGGTGAGCAAGAGGCTAATAAGGCTAATTGGAAAGGTGGTGGCCTGGCAGCCCATTAGCTGGCTCTCTGGCCTGAATGAGTGAACAGGAAGCAGTAGCTAGCCATGTCTTAGTGGGATAAAGGAGGCCCAGGTAGTCTCCTGAGTTCCTGAAAGACAGAAGGCAAAGAGCCCTGGGATCTGCTGGGAGGTGGTGGTTTCTCCTCCACTGCATCTCCCTCCCTCCTGCTCTGGTCCTGGCCCCACCCTGACCAATTTCTCACCGGTGTTGCCGAGAGTAGAGAGTAGGGGAGTATCAGTATCAAAGGGAGGTGCCCAGGAGGCTGTCCTCCTACCCAGTCTCCTCAAACAGCCACCAGCCCCGTGAAGTCCTCCTCCCCTCACCTGAACCCATTTCTAGAACTTCTTGTCTCCTCACAAAGGTAGCTCTGTCCTTGGAGCCCTTTGGTTGGTCTATCCTGTTCTCTCTGCCTCCTGACCTGCCTTGGATTTGTGGCCAGCATGGTGATGGAGATGTCCTGTATCTGTGCTGTCTGATGCTACAGCCACTAGGCACGTGGGACTACTGAACTCTTGGAATTCACTGAGGAATTTCACTTAACTCTAATTAATGCCTGCCTTGGAAGGTTTTTGTAAAGATCATATAGGAAATTATCAGAAAGAATGATACAAGGGCACAGTCCCCCTGGCATGGGTACTCAGGAAATGGAGCCCCACTGCTGCTCCTGCCTGCATCCTCCCTTTGGGGGAAAACAAATAGTAGAAGGGTTTACCCACAGCCCAGGCTCTCTCTAGCCCATCCCCCACTGGGAGACTCTCCTCTGCTCCCTTCCCACCTTGGGTAGAAAACCTGAGGCCCGGGCTGTTTAAAATGATGTTGCTCTCTCTCGGGACATCAGCGCCCCTCCCTAGACTCTCAGGCCCCATCTAGGATCTAGGGAAGGGGAAAGGGTGTGGAGCAGGGACAGGAGTGGCAGGGAGAAGAGGGGAAAGGAGCCTTATGGAGGAGAGCAGCTGGGCTGTCCCCAAGTGGGTGGGGAGAAGGCAGGAGAATGCAGGGACTCTGGGTTGTTCTTTTCCAGCACATGCCTCCCCTGAGCAGCCAGAGTCTTGTTTTCTTCTTCACATTCCTCCTGGCTGCTGTCAGCCTTTGGCCAGGACAGTCGGGCTGGAGGAGGCTGTCTCTCTCGGCCTCCAGGCAAGTCTCCAACCACCCACATGGGCATTCTTCCGTGGGCTGCTCCCCTCCTGTTCTATTTCCACTCTTCCTCTCATCCTGCCACCCTGGGCTGCCCAGGTCCCCAACTGTCCTTCCTACATCTGGGCCCTGAAGCTCCAGTCAGCCCTCCCTGAAGTCCCATCAGCTCCCCTGTGCAGTGGTCCCTGTCCCCCATCCATGGTTTCACTTTTCAGTTGCTTTTGGTGGGTAAATATAAAATTCCAGAAATAAACAAGTCATAAGTTTTAAATAACTTTCATCATAAAATATAGTTATAATTGTTCTATTTTATTGTTGTTAATCTTCCTGTGCTTAACGTATAAATTAATCTTTATCATAGATACGTATAGACAGGAAAAATCATAGTATAGTACACATAGGGTCAGGTACTAGCCACTGTTTCAGTCGTCACTGGGGGTCTTGGACTGTGTCCCTTGCAGTTAGGGGATGTAGCTCTATTTTATTCTGCTGTGTTCTTTGTCCTCGCCATTAGCCTTTCTCTCAGCTCAGGCAGGGAAACCCTGAAGTTAACGGGCTAAGGAAGGAAGGGAAGGGACATTGGTTGAGTGCCCACATAGGGCAGGGTCATCCTATGGGGAGCTGGTCAGTCTGGGGATGTCCATAGTAGTACAAGCAGTTCAGCTGGATTCCACAGTGAGACTGTACTGACTCCAGCAGAAGGACCAGAGCAGAGGGAGGACTGGGTGAGAAAGCGTGGGTGGAACGAGCAACCCCCTCCCCCAGAAGGAAAATCAAGTTCAAAGTGGTGCCTTCTGCAGACAAGAGATGGGAGTCCCTGCCTTGCATCTGTGAGGAAGAAGGTGGCTATCCACTCCAGTCTCCTCTCTGCCAGGAACTGGCTCACCACACCTGTGCTTTGGAAGTTCAGTGAAGAGGAAGATGGATTATTCCTTGCCCTGAAGGAGCTGCAGACCAGCTGTCGACATGCAGCACAGAGAGAAGCCTTGAGCGGAAAAGGCAGGTCCTTGGCTTTGAGTAGGTGGCAGATTTTTCCTGGGCCTTGAGGAGTGATGAGAAGAGCAGGAAGCTCAGACCTAGGGCCTGGTGGTGGGTCTGTCCATGGGGTGTACTGAGAACAAGTGGATGACCGGGCACATGCACAGGAACAGTAGGGTGGACGGATAACCAGCCTGTTAGCACCAGGATTCCTAGTGACCTTTAACACCAGGCAAAAGAAACTTGGATTTTATAGGAAATGGAGTAAATATAGAGGACACAGGGAACCAAAGGCTTTTGAATAGACTTGTATGGTCAAAGAGGAAGCCAGGGGAGGAGAGCCCCATTGACTGACTGCCCAACCTGGTACTGGATCTTTATTGTCACGTTGAATCTTCACTATGGTCCCTTGGGGTAAACGCTTCTCTCCCTTTTTCCCAAAGGAGGAAACTGAGTTTAAACAATATGTCTGAGCCAGCTGCTAAAAAGCAAAAAAAAAGTCTGGAAAAGACTCCAACCCAAGTCTGCGGGGCCTCTAAGCCCACCGAGATCCTTCCACTCTGCACCCCAGCGCTGTGCCTCACACTATGGCAGTGCTTCACAGACAGGCTTCAGAGCTTCCTCACACCCTGTAAGCATGTGTGTGAAATTCCTCATGCATCTCTTTTTCTAGAGAGAAGGTTCCTGCTTCTCTCCAAGTCTCAGAAGTTAAGGACCTTTAAGCCAGGGAGTAAGGGGCACACGAGGTCCCTCACACGCAGCTTTCCACCCTTCCATTTCACCAGTGGGTCTAAATGTCAGGGCAGAAGTTCTAGAACAAGGATTCCATGGAGGGAAACTTTGTAGACCTGGGAGAGGCTGGGGAAAAGGAAATGGAGTAGACAAAGATGAGGGAAAGCTTGAAAACAGATATAATTTGGGACAGTAGAGGTGGACAGAGGACACCCAGAGTCCCTCGGAAGCCCAGGACCCAGGCTCCTCCCTGCCTCTGCTCCTCTCAGCTCAGGCAGAAGGCCTTTCCCCCTCCTCCCCTCTCTTTCTCCATCACCCTTGTCACCTGGTGGACTCATCTCCAGTCACAACACCCACCTCTCCCTCGAGTGGGAGCTGACACTCTTGGCCCACTCCCGCTGGGAATGTCCTCTGAGTTGTTTTTCCTGTAGTAGGGACGGGTGGCCCTGAGTCATCTACACGCTTCACTTGGCTACTCTCGTGACCAAAAGGGCAGAGAAGGAGAGGACTCATCTGCATGTGGAGTTCCTGCTGGTCTGTGCAGGATGGGGCAGACCCCACCTGTGCTGCCCCATGTGACCAGGGGAACCGCTCCCCTCAGTCCTGTCTCTTAATTCTCTGCCTCCCTCTGGGGAGCACCCCACTGCCCTCTGTAGGAGTGGACCATGGTAGATGGGCAAGGGTGAACCAGTTCGCGCTCTCCCTGGCCCTGACTCCTACATCCTCTTTTCAAATAGATTCCACGGCATGTAATTTAGACTTCAAAATGTGGCAGAAATTATTTCTCTTCACCCGGAGGGTTTCAGGACAGTGAGCACAGCACTCTTGTGTTTCTTGAACTCCCTGATCTTAGCTGTGAAAGGTATACTTGATGATTTTTTGGAATGAAAGAATGAATAAATGTGTCCAGGCTAACTTCCCTCTTTCCACCTTACTCAGGAAAAAGTTTCCCTCCTTTCTGGCTTCCTTGTCCTCTCCCCTTCCAAACACATTCACCATGTGCAAAGACCCCAAAGGTACTGGGGTGGGGGTGGGATACACTATGGCAGTGGCGAGGCCTCCAGGAGAGCCCTGTGTGGGAAGCAGGGAGACTGATATGTGTACCTGGCTCTAAAACAGAGCCATTCACCAACTCCCTGTGTTCTCTCTGTCTGTCCAGCTCTCATTCCTCATGAGTGACTAACTCCCCTGAAC